CACTGGAGAGGGTCCAAAGAAGATTTGTCAGGATGGTACCAGAAATGAGTGACTTTGGTTATCATGAGAGGCTAGAGAAGCTGGGATTATTCTCATGGAGCAGATAAGGTTAAGAGGAGACTTAATAGAAGTTTTCAGAATTATGAGGGGATTCAATAGGGTGAACAAGGAGAAACTATTTCCACTGGTGGGTGGGACGGCAACCTGAGAACACCAATTTAAAATAATTGTTAAAAGAAACAAGGGAGATGAAAACATTTTTTTTCACACAGCGAGTTGTTCGGATCTGGAAGGCATTGCCTGAAAGGGTGGTGGAAGCCGAATCGATAACAACAACAAGATTATATTTGTATAGCGTCTTTCACATTGGGAGGACGTGCCAATATGCTGGACAGCATTTCAGACCCAAGCTGGGGTCAAGGGGGAGAAGAGAGAGGAGGGAAAGGGGGTGACCGATAGCATGGTCGAAGAGGAGGGTTTTCAGGCGGGACTTGAAGAAGGCTAAGGAGGGGGCGAGGCGGAGTGATTGGGGGATGGAATTCCAGAGATTGGGGGCAGAGTGGCTGAAGGCTCTCCCAACAATGGTGGGGTGGGTGGGTCGGGGGACGTGAAGCAGGCTGGAGCCGGCTGAACAGAGGAGCGAGCAGGTTAATATGGGGTTAGGAGGTCGCAGAGGTAGGGTGGGGCGAGGCCATGGAGGGCTTTATAGGTGAGGACCAGGATCTTGAACTGGATCCTCTGAAGGATAGGGAGCCAATGGAGTCGGGCGAGAATGGGGGAGATGGGGGTCCCAGAGTTTGGTGCGGGAGAGGACACGGGCTGCAGAGTTCTGGATTATCTGCAGCCTGTGGAGGGAAGAGTTGGGAAGGCCGACAAGCAGGGCATTTGCATAGTCGAGACTGGAGGTGATGAAGGCATGAACAAGAGTTTCAGCGGCCTGAGGGGTGAGGTAGTGGCGGAGTTGAGCGATGTTACGAAGGTGAGGGAAGGCAGAGCGGGTCATGGCTTGGATGTGGGGAAGAAAAGACAGTTGAGAATCGAACAAGACACCGAGGTTCCTGACTGGCTTGGTGAGGTGAAGTGTGCAACCATGTAGGTTGATGCTGCCAGAGCCTGAGGTGCTGAGGCGCTGGCGCGAGCCAATCAGGAGGGCCAGGTCTTGTTCACATTCAACTGTAGGAAATTTGTCCTCATCCAGGACTTGATGTCCGACAGGCAGTCTGTCAGGACAGCAGTGCCCCTGGAATTGAGAGTGGAGCAGAAAGATAAGAGTTGGGTGTCATCCGCATACATGTGGAAGTTGACCCCATGTCTGCGGATGATGTCACCAAGGGGGAGCGTGTAGATATTAAAGAGGAGAGGACCAAGGACAGAGCCCTGGGGGATGCCAGACGTGACAATGCGGGGGCTGGAGGAGAACCGTTAGAGGCAACAAAGTGGAGACGGTGAGAGAGATAGGAATCGAACCAGGCAAGGGCAGGTCCATGAAGATTAAGTAAGGAGGAGAGGTGGTGTATGAGGTTGGAGTGGTCGACAGTGTCGAAGGCGGCAGAGAGGTCGAGGAGGACAAGAAGGCAGAAAGAGCACAGATGTTCAGAATGTCATTAGTGACTTTGACCAGGGCCGTTTCCATGCTGTGGGCAGCGCGGAAGCCAGATTGCAGGGGTTCAAAGAGGGAATGGCGAGAGAGAAAGGAGCGGAGCTGGGACCCGACGACTTGTTCCAGGACCTTGGAGAGGAATGGGAGTTTAGAGATGGGGTGGTAGTTGGAGAGTAAGGATGGGTCCAGGGAAGGTTTTTTCAGGATAACAACTTTTAAGAGAGAAGTAGATAATAATTTGGGGAGGACAAGTTTGCAGGGCTATGGGGAGAAAGTGGGGAAGTGGGATTGATTTGGATAGCTCTTTTAAAACAGCTGGCACAGACATGTTGGGCTGAATGGCCTTCTTCTGTGCTGTATAATTCTATGATTCAATGATACCAACAGAAATGCTCTACCAAGAACGGAAGCTGAGGCAAGGATGCCATTTAAGAAACAGCTTAATGCTGTAATGGGAGACTGGTCACTGGGACATAAGGGGTTACCCAGGCCCTAGAAGCAGTGGAGGGTAACAAGGATGACCCTCAGTGTTACAGGAATGAGCTATGAGCAATGATTAGACAAGATGGGGCTCTTCAATCTTAAGAAGATGTCTCAGAGGGGACTTTGGAGAGGTGAACTTTTTTTTAAAAAAATGGGATTGAAAAAATAAAACCAGAACAATACTTTAGGGTACACCAAGAGTGTAGAACAAGATGGTAGCTTTAGAGTTGCAAACAACAGATACCAGGAAGGTCTTCCTTGCCAAGAGGGTAATTACCGACTGAAACATTTCTTCATCCAAACAAACTTTTTGATCGTGTGACAGTTGGGTGGATATTCTGGAAGGATAAGATCAAACGAACAGATTGCATTTTTCCTGTGATCCTCTTGTAATCTTATTCTAAGCTTCATAACTTTGAAAGCTTTTATTAAGTCACGTTGAAGTCTCTACTCCAAGAACAATCCCAATTTTCTTTAGTCTTCCTTTGATCGTGACCCTCACAGAAACTAGGAATAATCTTTATTGTCCAATGTGCATCCTCATAAAAGTAATAATGTCCTATCCATGGAAAAGTGACTAATTGAATACATTGCTCCAGAAAATTACTATATACTCCAGTTTGCCTCCTGAAATATTTACTTTCCAATAGATTTTAGTAATTTTCTGAAGCTTTTGATCTGAAAATGGTAATTATTCTCCTGTAGTCTTCTATCATCCCAATACAATGGCTAAAGAACTTTAGAACGTTCCTATCACAGCACTCCAAACTTCTAGGATGTGCTCTAAATCACTGCTGCGTATATTTTGATTCACGTATTCACATTCCTAAAGCTGCATTAATATACTACATCATTGCAAATTGGCATTGAGTTAGTTAAATAATGTCAAAAATACATTAACAACAACTTGCATTATTTATACAGCACCCTTCACGCAGGTGATGTCTTAAGAGTGCTTAACCCAAGTAAAATCATATATAATTTGAGCAAGACAATTTTATGGCAGAAACGCTCCCAGCGCTAGTTAAATCAGTCCAATGTATGAATCAACCATAAATATTTGATAGGATTTAAAAATGAAAAGCAAATAAGATAATTAAAAATATTTTTTAAACATATTGTGAATAGTAAACACATTGTGAATAGTAAACCAAAGTGAAATTATCTCACACTTCATCACAGTTCTAATGGTCAGTATTAATGCATGGCTCTCATTATTCCAACAAAATGGTCAGTGTGTGTTTTGTAGAGACAATTAACCTGCTTTTTTAAAAAATACAATCTAGATTTGCCAGTTGAAAAGGAAACTAAAGTGATCTTTGCGATTTCTAAAAAACATTAGAACTCTAAAACTCACAAAGTCTGGAAAACCCTTCAAATGAATGCAAAATGCCTTTGGATTTTGCCTGCAAATACGCAGTCACTACACTTTACATCAAAATTCTGTGAAATGCTTTGAGAAGTCTTGACAATGAGATGAGGCGCTATATCAAATACAAGGCTTATCATTTATGGTTCACACTCCAATAAGTTTCCACAGACCAATTTTGTTCTAACATAGTAAATGTTGCAAAATCTCTAACAATATTTTCAATTACCTACAATAACTTCATTATAAACTTAAGTCACCTTCCCCAAATTAACAATAAAAAATAAAAAAATAAGTAGAAATTAAACCAGAATCTCCTCTATCACACTGTGGAGAGCATTCTGGAGTCCTGTAGCTCAGTGGTTAGAGCACTCGCTTTGCAAGTGAGAGACCTGAGTTCAATTCCAGGCAGAGGGCGAAACCTTGGGCAAGTTTCCTTACTCCACACAGAGCCTAATAATAATCCCTCCAAACCAAAAACAATAATAAATTGGTCATTTTCAATTTACGACTGTTTGTGGGTCATTGCTGTGCGAAATTGGCTGCCGCGTTCGCCCACAAATATACAGTCAATTCACTTTTCACTGACGTGAAAAGCGCTATATCAAATGCAAGGATTATTATTATTATTATTGAAAGATCAAACTGATCAACAACAACAACAAGATTACATTTGTATAGCGCCTTTCACGTCGGGAGGATGTCCCAAGACGCTGGACAGAGTACAGCATTCCAGACCTGAGCTGGGGTTAGGGGGGGAAGGGACGGCAGTGGAATGCGGGTGGCCAATGGCATGGTCGAAGAGGAGGGTCTTGAGGCAAGACTTGAAGGAGGCTAAGGAGGGAGCGAGGCGGAGTGACTCATTATTTACAGCAATTGATCCCTAATGGTCTGTTTCAGAGACTGTATATTTTACAAAAATATCACATCTTCAAATTAGCAAATGAAATTTGCACCCTGCAATTTTTGCAACTGAAATAGCACAAATATCTGCAAAATTTATTTCACTGTTCATTTAAATGGAATTTATTTGAAAGCAGCATATATGGTGGATTTACACTACGACACCTGTATTACAACAGTGAATTGTACTTTAAAGCACGTTGCAAAAAACTTTTCACACTTTATTTAAAAATAGGTCAGTTCAGTATAATACGAATACGCAGTGTCAAGTAAAAAGCTTAATTGGAATGATCGAGAGAACAAACAGTTGGAACACAAGGGTAATGAAGTGGTTGGCTTGAGCAAACATTACTCGCAACAAAGTGCTTCTGTTAGTACTGTCCCAATTAATGGATCAAACTGTATTAATGTCACAAGTTGATAGTTTACTGAAGCTGATATGGAAAGTAATCTTAATGACCAAGGCATTCGAGCTAAAATTTCAAAATTATTGAAAGACTATACAAACAAATACAGTAAAATCTTGATTAGTATTGATTTCACAATTCAATCTTGGAATTAGCCTGTACTCATAAATTTAGCATTACAATTGCAGAATAAAATCTCACATTTTATTTAAATATAGTAATCCTTAAAACAAATTACCTTTTCGTTCCAGAGGACCTTCAATATGTAATCCACGTTTAGTTACTTTGTTGCTGTCTGTCTCAACCGCCTGATTCATTGCGGACCTTTTGAAGATTCCCCTCTGCACTTCGTCAAAAACTAAAAACATGTTATGCACTCGAGCCGTGTAGCCTGCCAATTCAGTGACCTAATAATTTTTTTTAAATAAGCACAACCACCAATATTTGTTAGCATATACAACATCAAATCCATAATATACTGTATTTAATTAAGTACATGACATATCATTTAAAAGACAACTGAAGACTTAAGTGGTGTCTGTGCCAATTTGTTAAACTTTATTTTAAAAAATGAACTGAAATCTTCAACAGAGAATATATTTGTTCTTTTATTCTGGATTATATTAAGAAACTGTACGAATAAATTAGAATCAACGCCGTAATAAACATACCAATTAAAAGGTTTTACTTATGGATGAATGAGTGAAATGTTGCTGAAAAGGACAACAAGACTTTCAACAGTACAGAGATAGTTGATAGTTCATTTCCATAAGATCATATCAGTTTTACAACAAATAAATCTTTTGCATAAGCAGATGATAGATAATACTGCAATAAGGTCACCAGCCTCTTAATAGCCTACTTATTACATCTAGCCACTATTACATAATGAATAACAAATAACCATTCATCATAACACTATAAATTCCAAAAATGGTGGGAAAGTTTTGTAAAGCCTACTGTATTAATATGCAAACATAAAACACATATTCATTGGCATTTTAAAAAAGCTTACTAAACTGACAAAGTTACAAGTTTAAAAAAGTAAAAACAATTGAAAATTAAAAAACAGAAAATGATTCAAAATGATCATATGAAAACGAAAGATTGGCTAACACTTTTGGTATGACCCTTCGTCATATCCAGAATTCAAGGATTTATGTTTTTTCTTTTTAAGAAAACAATGCAATCCCAGTTTATATCATGGAATATTGTACAGTCCTCCTGTTTCTCAGGCCCAGCTAAGACATAATTCCAAATTTATACTCAAATTGGTAAATCAGTTATGGGGTGGAACTTTTGCATGAATTTTGTTGATCACGAACTGTATCTTAATGCCATTGTGAAATACTGATATGCTTCCCTTCACTTTGGAGGAACTGCTATGTAAACATCCAACTTTGCCTTATCATGACAAAATGTCTCAAGCAATTACTGTAAAAGATAGAGCCCCATTTTGTAGGCAAACACACTACCTATTTTGCAGCAGTACAGTCCCACAAAGAGCCAACCATGAGGTGAAGGCTTGATTAATCACCTTCAAAGCCCTCCACGGTCTTGCTGCCCTTTACCTCTCCGACCTTCTAACCCCCTACCACCCTGTTCGCTCCCTCCGCTCAGCGGGCTCCGGCCTGCCTCACACCACCCGTCTTACTCGCCCCACTATCGGCAGGCAGGTCTTCCACCACTTTGCACCCACCCTCTGGAACTCCATCCCGCAGTCCCTCCGTCTCGCCCCCTCCCTTGCCATCTTCAAGACCCACCTCAAGACCCTCCTCTTCGACCTTGCTTTCGATCTCCTTGCTTCCCCCCCCTCCCCACCCCAACCCTCAGCTCAGGTCTGTAACTCTGTTTGCCCAACGCCTTGGGACGTCCTCCTGATGTGAAAGGCACTATACAAGTGTAATTTTATTGTTGTTAATTGGAAAACTCTTTGGCAGGATACTGGGAGAAATTCCTTGGGACCTCAATTTAAAATCATATCCAAAAGACAGCATTTCCTCAATATTATACTGTATAACACATATTTAATTTCCCAATTTTTACGCTGCAACTAAACGAATCTAACTGAATTACAAACTAGAAAAATCTGCAGCATTGATTTTGTATGAATGGCTTCATCTGTTTTAAATTCACTTTTTTTACACCAAAGTTCAACTGAAAAAGGTAATTTGTAACAACTATTTTCTAATACCGAAACTGCAATATTGTCTCCTTTAAAAAAATAATGAGCTGAATAAAGTCACCAACATCAACTTTGCACTTCAACATGGAAAAGTATATTTACAATCTTTTTCTCTCAGGTTTATGCTACTTAATACCTCTTTGTAGGAAGACATAATTCTTTCAATAGCGTCTGCTCCAGAAGCCAGGAGATTGCGTGCAGTGGTAAAAGCTTCAGTTCGTTCACTGACCAAGCTTACTTGTTTGTGACCATCTTCTGACTCTTGAGGGGAAAGGGAATAAGCACATAATTACATGCATGAAAGTGTAATTAAGAGTTGTATTAGAAAATGTAAGCACAAAATTCGACCTAGTTTTAGCCTACAAGACCATTTCATCTTAAAATGTATTATTGCACAGAACAGTCAAAAAATCTTCAATTCAGTCTTAATTTAGAAGCCAATTCCAGTTTACCTAGAGTTAGTGCATCTCAGTCACAGCAGTAATTATTGTAAGTCCTACAATTAACTTTAGCTCTTTGGGCTAGAGAGGGGAAGGGAAAGAAACAGACAGAGTTCTCACTCTTCATTGCTGTTCCCAGAAAAAAGTAGTACTAACAGCACTAACAGCACTCAATGTCTGGGTTCACATATCAAAAATGGCCAAATGGTGAGGTATTGAGTAGACAGCAACAGTGAGAATCCTTGCATTTGATGTAGCACCTTTCACGTCAGGAGGATGTCTCAAGGCTTCACAAGATTTACTGTAATGTCTTGTGATTGTGTACTATGTAGGCCAATTTCTGCAAAGAATGTCTCACCAACACCACTTTTAACATAGCGTATGTTGATACTGTGCAACCAATAGACAATTTTTTTCAAACAAAAACAGAGATTGCTGGTAACACTCAGGCGGTCAGGCAGCATCTATGGAGAAAGGAAAGTGGGTCAATGTTTCGGGTCCATGATGCATTGTCAGAACTGACAAATGGTCATGGACCCGAAATGCTGACCCACTTTTCTTTCTCCATAGATGCTGCCTGACCTGCTGAGTGTTCCCAGCAATCTCTGTGTTTTGTTTCAGATTTCTAGCATCCGGAAATCTCCAGTGTTTTGCTTTTTTCTCAACCTTTTTGTTTCACTTCAGTTAGGAAATTTGTTCATTACCATCATCTGCAAATCCTGTTGCAGTGATGATAGGTACTGCTACCATGACTAATCCACTGCCGCTCCACACATACTTCATTAGAAATTGCTCCAACATAATGTACCAAAGTCTTTTGGACAAAATTAGATTCATCTGGGCAGCAAGCGATTTGTAGCTTTTCTGTAGCTGGTTCATTTCCACCTAATAGAATAGAAACATCCTGTTAATAGTAGTAATGTATTATACATTTTGGATGTTTACATTGTTAAAAATATTAAACATGTTACAGAGGAGATGTAAGGAGTTGATATGCTCCTTTCACTAAATATAACAAATTTCTCTGTGTTAAAATGTCATGCAAGTGCACAAACAAACAATGCCAGTTTGTCTTGAAATGCATGTGCAGGCAATGATACTCTGAGAGATTATTTAAATGGTGGTAATCTGAACTGCAAAATAAAATAATAATCCCTGCATTTGATATAGCGCCTTATCACGTCTTTGAAGCGTCTCAAAGCACTTCACAGAATATACTTTAAAGTAAATTGACTGTATATTCGGTGGGTGAAATGCAGCAGCCAATTGCGCACAGCAGTGTCCTACAAACATTCGTGGAATGAATGACCAATTTATTCTTATTATTTTTTTTTGAAGGAATTATTACCCCCAGAAAAGCGATCCGCTAATCGACTAACAACCTAGTTCCTACTTACTGCTAGGTAAACAGGCGTGTGGAGTAAAGAAACTTGCCCAAACTTCACCCTGCCAGGAATCAAACTCAGGTCTCTCCCTTGCCAGGCGAGCGCTCTAACCACTGAGCTACAGGACTCCACATCTACAAGATGCATTAACATTAAGAAAGTTTTTAAGAACAGGGAAGATCACTGGGCTCAATAGCCCCCTTTATTTACCTTTTCACCATCTGTTCTCTATCCAGAAACAAATCTAGCTGCTTCCTGGATCTAGTTATCTTTACAAATGTAATTTTGTTGTTGTTATAATGTTTTACTTGTCATCTTATTCCACAAGTTTTGAAGAAAAAAAATCTGCTTTAGTTCACTCCAAATTTCACAATTTTTAAAAATATTGTTTTCTGGTATTGTTTTTCACCAGACCAAACAATTTAATTGCAAATATCAATCCCTTCATAATATGGAAATGTCTTAATCACATCACCTATATGCCATCTTTTCAAAAGAGAACAAAAGCTTAAAAGGATATAAAGTTTAAATAATGTAATTTCAGAGGCAAAATTCACTTTCCTTGTAGTATAAAGAAATTAAAATTATTCTGAATAAAAAGTATTTTGGACTTCAATGGGATTGCTGACCTCACTTCACACGATCACACTATCACAAGATTGGTCCAGATGAAGAAGGCCCTTCAGTTCATTTGATCTTGTCCTTCTAGAATACCCACCTAACCATATTCCCATCTCATCACATTTTTTAAAAATAGTCCAATGCCTTTGCTTCAACCACTCTTACTGGTAACCAATCATTAATTATCTTCTGGGTAAAGAAATACTGCCTGGTATCCATTCTGAATTTGCCATTTGCATCTCTAAATCCATGCCCCATAATAGTAAACCCAGAAAGAATTGTTCTGGGTTTACTTTATCAATCCCATTTAAAATGTTGTGTGCAAGATCCCCACTGAGCTATCTCCTTCCAAGACTGAAGATCCCTAGTTTGTCTAATCTTTGCTCATAGCTCATTCTTTTAACACAGGTGATCATCCTTAACGTCTGTTTTAGAATAGAAGCTGCTTAGTTCCCACTACAAATTTACCAGCACTGTCTTCCCATTACCTGTTTGATGATTACTTGTCTGCAGCACTTAGAGAAATGCCATCACGAGTATAGAATTGTACTTTATTGTTCAATTATATTAAGTCCAATATTGATGGCTAAAAGTAACTCTTGAATACAGCTCATGAATACGTTGGAAGGAGCAATATGATGGAAAATTGAAAGACTAAATAACTGACCAAGAAAAGTGCCTGATCCTCTTCAGAACTTATACAAATGGAGACTTAAATCAGAATTTCAGCACAGCATAATATTTATATAACTCCAGCTATTATATGTTTGCAGAAAAAAAGCAGATAACATCTATTTCGCTGAGATAACTTATTTACGCAGATATTTTGATTACAACATAAATATTTATATTTTCCGGTCTTTTCATTAAATTATATTAAAGTGATTGGAAGGTGTGAGGTGGAATCCAGAATCCAGAATATTACGCTAACGGTCTCAGTAGCAACACCTTCCACTGTGCTGACAGCAGGTAAAGTGTGGATGGATAAGCTCCAGTTTCAATGCGGAAATTGTTCTTACCCTGTGTCCCCGGTAAAAGGCAATCTCTTCTGCATTGGCTATGATACGTGAATGGACGTATCGTAAGTATCCCTTCCTCTGGGCTTCTTCGGCAACCAGTTTGCCAAACCTCGGGGAAAACGCTCGCAATACCCTGGCAGTGGCATACACGACAAGTCCTGCCAGGAGTGTGGGTCCGGTAGGGTTCGCTCCTCTCGACTTGGCGGTCTGGATCAGAGTGTACGAAGTGAGCACCACATCCAAGATGGGCTTCGTCAGATTGGAATACAAATGTGCAATTGACTGAGCGAACATCATGATATCTTCGGTTAGTGACTGGTCGGGATTTGCGAGCCTCCCGTCCATATTGCTAACCTTGTAGTAAGTCTGATCGGTGAAATAGGTTCGATAAGCGTAATCCACGAGCCGAGTGCGGAACGCCAGCGCCAGTTTGCATTCCAGGTACCGGATCATACTGTTGACAAACGTGGCGGGGATGGCCACCAGAATCCATTTGACTAATTTCAACACAAAGCTCCGGGGTTTCTTTTCAACTATGGTTTTTACGATCTTCCCGTCCAAACCGGCGACGTAAATGGAGAGAAACGTCCTGGAAATCAGAGCGCCCGAATGCAGGCACAGCAATCCCAGCTCCTTGGTCACCAGCTTCGGGAAGAGGATTTTTCCGAGTCCGATCAGCTGGTGTACAAAATCAGCGTCTAAGGCCGGAGATGTGTTGGGGAGTCTGGGGCTGCGTGTGCGCGGGGAGGAGGCTTCTGGCTGCGATTTCCCGCAGATGTGATGGCAGAGCAGCGGATACAGTCTCCTCACACCGTAAGCGGCGATGACCAGCAGAGCCGCTCTCCTCGCGGCTGGCGATCTGGTCCATTTCACTCCGGCCGCCGCCTGCAGGATATGGGACATGGTGTCGCTATTGCTGCTGATACCGTAGCTGTTACATACCGATAAAGGCAGATAGCGGCTGAGGGCTCCCGGGTGTCATGGTGGCTCTCACTGCGGCTGCCCCCGGGCGGCTCCGCACTGCAATCCGATCAGTGCCGCGGCGTCCGCTACGTCATCCGACTCCAGCGCCCGCTCGGCATCATGGGCTCTCTCTCCCTCTCTCTCCCTCCCTCTCCTTTTTATAATAATAATAATCCTTGCATTTGATATAGCGCTTTTCACGTCGGGAGGACGTCCCAAAGCGCTTCGCAGAACGCACTGTAAAGTGAATTGACTGGACGTTTGTGGGCGAACGCGGCAGCCAATTGCGCACAGCAACGTCCCACAGACAGTCATGGATTGAAAATGACCAATTTATTATTGTTTTGTTTTTTTGGAGGGATTATTATTAGGCTCTGTGTGGAGTAAGGAAACTTGCCCGAGGTTTCGCCCTCTGCCTGGAATTGAACTCAGGTCTCTCACTTGCAAAGCGAGTGCTATTTGAGAAAGAGAATAAATAACCGGTTGTCGCTTGTCACAGTGTTGCGGCTGTAGGAATCAAGTGAGAGTTTCAGTTTATAATCTTTTCGGGAATTTTGACGTACAGCAATGACGCTCACACAGAGCCTTCCACATCGGGAGATCAGGAGGACGTCTCAGTTTCACATAAAGGACTGGAACCCACACTGCGAGTGATGGAGTTGGGAAGTCTATGTTGCAGGACGCGATTGAGCCTCGGGGGGTGATGAATGCATGGAATGAGGGTCTCATTAGCCCAGTGGAGAGATACTTAAATTCAGTGATGCATAGATATTACTGAATTAGGCTCCTCCACTATTAAGCGCTCTGAGACTCTACCCTGCGTGGAGGGCACTATACAAGTGCAAGTTGTTGCTGTATATTTTCTTTCAGCTTTTATCATTTCTCTTCCAAAGATAATAAATATAAAGATAATAATAACAACAAATTACATTTCTATAGCGCCTTTCACGTTGGGAGGACGTCCCTAGGCACTGGACAGTCAGGGATTTGGATCAGAGCAGGGTTGGGATTGGGGATTGAGGGCGGGGGGTTAGGGGTAGGAGGGTGGCTGAAGCCAAGTTCAAAGAGGAGGGTCTTGAGACGTGCCTTGAAGGAGGCAAGGGAGGAAGCAAAGGGACTATGGGATGAAGTTCCAAAGGGTGGGCAGAGAGACTGAAGGCCCAACTACTGATGGTGGGGAGGGCTGGGCGGGGGACAGGGCGTAAGGCCAGAGTCTGCTGAGCAGAAAAGTTGATATGGGGTCAGCAGGTCACAGAGGTAGGAAGGAGCAAGGCCGTGGAGGTCCTTGAAGGCGAGGATGAGGATTTTGAACTTTATCCTCTTTGGGATGGGAAGCCATTGGAGCTGGGCAAGGGTGGGGTTGATGGGATCGCGGAGCCTGGTGCGGGAGAGGACATGAGCTGCAGAGTTCTGAATGATCTGCAGCTTGTAGAGGGAAGAGTTGGGAAGGCCGCCAAGCAGGGAGTTTGCGTAGTCAAGCTTAGATGTGATAAATGAGTGAATGAGTGGAAAGGCATTGGCAGAGGCGGACAATGTTGAGGATGTGCCATGACCCACTCTGCCAGTTGAGGATGAAACAAGATGCCAACGCTCCGGACTTGCTCAGTAAGGTGGAGTGTGTATCCTGAGGCACGGAGGCGCTGACGGGAGCCAATCAGGAGGTCCTTGGACCTTGGTCTTGTTGACATTCAACTGAAGAAAGTTAGTTCTCATCCAGCACTTGATATCTGACAGACATTCTGTTAGGACAGCAGTGATCCTGGAGTCAAGTGTGTTAGAATATACACTTTTTCTATACTGCTAGAATCATAATAGATGTTGTGAATGGGTTAACTTTTAAGTTAAGTGTGGGGGACAACTGGACTGACAGTCATGGGATAGGACACATCTGGTTTTCTCTGTTTTTGAAAGAATAACGGACAGGGGCAGGGGGTCACCTCTTATTCAGTAAATGACAACAAGCCACAGAGGTAACGGTCCAAGGTACCGGTCGACACAAGATCTCGACTGAGCAATAAGTCGCTAGATTCTGACAGGGTCTGCCGAGCGACAGAAGGCAACCCTCAAGAATAGCAATTAATGAGCAAGTTGCTTAAACTAGAGGACCTTGGTACCATCCCGGGATACTGATAAGAAATAACCAGGCACTTAAAAGGAATGTACTAATGATCTCACACCACAAAATAACAAGCATCAGATAACAGGGGTCTTAAGGACAATGTGTATGTGTGCTGAGGCACGTACACCCCATGAGGTGTTCACGTGAACCCAGCATGATTTCGACCAGGTGATGTCCGCACCATGATTGGACAAACATTGGTATAAGAGTTCCGATAACTTTGTGTACGGAGCCGTCCCGGGTCGTGGAGACAAGGATAAGAGAGATGGAGCCATCCCGGGTCGTGGAGACAAGGATAAGAGAGATGGAGCCGTCCCGGGTCGCGGCGACAAGGATACGGGAGATGGGGCCATCCCAGGCTGCGGAGACAAGGGTACGGAGATGGAAGACTGAGAGCTGGAAACACTAAGACTGAGGATATCAGATGGAAGATTGAAAGCTGTAAGCAAGAAGACTGAAAGCATGAAGAATCAAGCTTGTGTGCTGTAAAGACACAGTGTTGAACTCTTGAACTCGAGATATCTATAGTGGTGTTATTCTGTTATAAGATCTGTTGATTGTACCGGCCTGTGGTCTGACCCATCGGGATATTGGGGAATAACGAACGAATAATAATAAAACAGTCTGATATCTGGTTAAAGGAATTAGCGTTATTTCCTTACAGATTTGGCCGATTTTATTTTCTAACAAGTGTGGAGGCAGAGAGATAGAGTTGGGTGTCATCCCTATATATGGGAAAGTTGCCCTATGTCACGGATGATGTCACCAAGAGGGAGCATGTACATGTTGAAGAGGAGAGGACTAAGGACTGAGGAACACCACACGAGACAGTACGGGGCTGGAGGAGAAGCCATTTGTGGAGACAAAGTGGAGACAGTGTAGTAAGATCTGAACCAGTCAAGGGCAGAACCATGAAGGTTGAAGTGAGTGGAGAGTCGGTGGAGGAAGATAGTGGTCAACGGTGTCAAAGGCAGCAGAAAGGTCAAGGAGGACGAGGAGACAGAGGCAGCCCTGGTCAAGGATGGACAAAATGTCATTTGTCACTTTGACCAGGGCTGTGGGCAACACGGAAACCTCATACTCACTGAACCAGTACGCAACCTAGGCATCCGGTTTGACCCCCAACTGTCTTTCCTCCCCCACATCCGGTCCACATCCAGTCCCTCGTGTATGCATTTGTCATCTCCCTCTTGGATTACTCCAACGAACTCTTTGCCAGTCTCCCCAACTCCATCATTCATAAGATCCAGCTAATTTAAAATTCTGCTGCCTGCATACTGACCTGGCCCAAACTCTGTACCCACATCTCACCAGTTCTGGCCAGGCTCCACTGACTGAATGGTTGATTGAACGGTTCGACTTGAAGATCATCACTCTCATGTTCAAATTCATTCACTCCCTGGCACCTCCCTACCTCTCCGACCTCCTCTGGCTCAACTGGCACCGGACTCCTGTTCGTACCTCACACACTCCGCCCCACCATTGGTGGTCATGCTTTCAGCCACTGCGCCCCGCAAACTCTGGAACGCTCTCCCTCAATCCCTCTGCCTGGCCCTCTCTCTCCCCTCTTTCAAGTCCCGCCTGAAAACTTTCCTCTTCAACCATGCTTACGGCCACCTCCCCCCTCCCCGTGGCTCGGAGTCAGGCTCCACCACTGCTAAGCGCTCTGAGATACTACCCTGCATGGAGGGCTCTATATAAGTTGTTGTTGTTGAAACCTGATTGGAGGGGCTCGTAGAGGGAATGGCTGGAAAGGAAGGAGCAAAGCTGGGAAGCAACAACTCATTCCAAGACCTTGGAAAAGAAAGGGACGTTGGCGATGGGGAGATAATTGGAGAGCAGAGATGGGTCCAAGGAACGTTTTTTTGAGGATGGGATGAAAATGGCTGTTTTTAAGAAGGAAAGGTGCCAATGGGCAAGAAGAGTTTGATGATGTCTGTGAGTAGAGGGGCAAGAAGTTAGAGCTGGGAGGTAAGGAAAGGGTTAGGGATTGGTCAAGGGAGCAGTTGTTGGGTTTCACGTGGGTCAGCTGGGGTCAAACCGGACACCTAAGTTTCAGGGGGTGAGATTCTGTGTGAGGGCTGACATCACAGACTCGATGATTGACAAACTAGTTCTGCAGCAAAGGAAACTTATGACTAAGCATGGCATGAAGTCATCAGAGAAATGAAGCGGATCAACAGGCTGCGTCACTCTGAAAGGGGGCACAATTGCACAAGGACGATCCAAAATCTTTCTTCCGCTAACTGAAGTCTCTTGTCAGCCATGGCTGGAAGTGCCCCTCTAAGCCTGAACCTTTATTGGACAAGTCTGGTGTTCTACATCAGCCCAACGAGGGTATTCTTGGGGACTGGAGGGAGCATTACGTGGAGTTGGGGTTTGACCCAACAGGCCAGAGCAGAGACCCATTTGCATGGAGGCTGGAGGAGCTGGTGAAATATGGACCAGATTGAAGGCCTAAATGACCCAATCCATTGGGAGGAGGTGGATGCCGCACTGCTTTGCCTTGACAATGGCAAGGCAGCTGGTGTGGTTGGCATCAATGCTGAATTCTTAAAAGCTGCTCCGAGAAAGCAGATGAAGAATGGTGGGTTCCAACCCGGGAACCCCCGATTCACCTTGGAGCTGCCCTCCTCGCACTGGTCAACAGGATTCTCACTGAGGCACTTCTCTCAGTGTTCCAGAGTTCAATTGTAGTGTCTATCCACAAGAAAGCTGACCCCCAGTGAAAGCGATAACGGCAGAGGGACCTCATTGATTTCAGGCACTCTTAAATCAGTGCTCTGCGTAGACACTGCACATATATTACACACAGTGGAGGCTCACTGGCTTCTGTTCTCGTCAGGAAAGTGTGGGACAGGTTGTGGCTCACA